CTTACTGAGAAAAAAAAGACAATAAGAAAGGATGGAAATGTGAACAAAAGGGCTTATTGCTGTTGGATCAGTGAGTTCAAAGTAGCAAAGGGAGACTGCAAATAAAGCTTCTCGTTGTTGTTTACCCAGCCTCTCCCTCCTCACAAAGATGCACATTCATATTCCTACAGCTCATCCCATCTGGAGTTCAGGACGCATCTCCCAGCCCGTCCGTCAATGTGCTTACATCCCTCAGGAATTATAACTGTCTGTGATAGCAGTTGGAGATAAAGTAGAAAGATCTGTACATCAGGAAGGATATAAGGGAAAGGAGTAGAGGAGTACGGTAATAAAATGTTAATGGTCCCAGTGTATAGTTCTTATTTTTATCTTTATGGATGAGGAAACAAAATGAGGTCTGATGACTGAGGAGCGGCATTTGGTTTACCACTGATAACAAGCTTTGAATGCATTATAGTAATAAAAAAGGTAGAAGAAAAACAAGAGCTTTAACCTGCAGAGGCAGTAAAGAACACTACCTCTTGGTCACATGAATTTAAGTAAATAAAACAAAGTGGGTGAAAACTCATTGATCAAACTGATCCAAAATCAGAAAGATAAAACAAAATTGTTTAATTAGTGTAATGTTTATCTATGACATGTGGTGCCCAGCTTTTTATAAAGTAACACATCTATAATAAACCAATAATAGCAGATGAATTTTCAGGCTGTCTGCTAATGAAACTCGCATCTACAGAGTTGTACTTTCAAAATGACTTTATTGCAACTGGAAAACTGGTTAAAATTCATTGTTGTGGGTTTTACTGCTGAAAATGACCCAAAAAGGCTGCTGCATCATCATTCCCCAAGGTTTTTGTTGATTCAAGTCTTTTTCCCAAAGAGGTTCTATAGACTCCACTATAGAAAGCATTGAGAAATAATTCCCCCCCCCAAACAAGAAAAAAAACACATAATTTGCATGAGAAAGCAGAGTGCAAGCAAATCAGTTCGCAAAACTCCCTGCTTCTGTTTGTAAGAGGCAATCTCTAGTGTCATTCTGCACTTAACCATTTTATCCAATTGTGCACACCTTAGTGGTCAGAAAAACATACCAGGGCAGGTAAAGGCAGAAAAGCTGAGCTAGAGCTGCGGTATGTCTATCTTGTGCATTCTATCAATGCCAAACAGATTTAGTGATGTCTTGAGTCATTTAAAAGGAGATTTTATATGTCAGGACTAGACACACTGACACAGAAAGGGACAAAACACAAGGGTCTGAATCAGGACGCCCCTTCTTGAAGCCCTGACATCCGTCAGGGCGGTTCAGTGGGCACCCGCCCACTGAACCGCATGTTCACATGAACACTGACACACAGGAACACACTAATAAGCCTTCAGGGAACAGCAGGGTCATCAACCGAGTGAAAGCACAAACACGTCGCCTAAAGCATATAATCGTCTGTCCAGTTATGGCAGTTTCATGTTGCATTACTTAACAGATATGCAGTTCTGTGCAAATTTTGATTTTTCTCAATTCAGGGCTTTAAATTTAGATATGACCTCCTTTTTTCAGTTTTGTCATCAAGAAAAGAAAATTTCAAATGTTATTGTTTTTAGGATTCTTTTTACATTGAAAATATACAAAGCTGCCCCAGGAATGATGAAGAATTCAGAGTTGATGTTCACAATCCTCGAATGGGATCCAATTGTGTGCCTAAAGGAGGCGCTGTTTCTTCTGGACCCCTGAAAGGTGATTAGATTCTTTTCTTTTTTTTCTTTTAACCACAATATAGATAGTCTTCTACTCCACTCCTGTGTCCAGATTCTAGCACCTTTTATACATGTCTTTGCTGCAACACATTTGAATAAAATAAACAGAACATTAGCATAACTTTACTGCAAACTGAGGAAGTAGTACAGCCATTTCACTCAGGTGTGCTTAAGCAGGGACACAGCTGAAAGGTGGAGGAAACTGGACTGTAGGACTTCCAGTGAAGAAGCCTGACATAGATGAATAAGAGCATACAGTGAAAATCCTTTGTAAAACACAAGAAAATATTAAAAAATGACTTTTTAAAATCTATTAATCTGTTTTAACAAACAGAAATTAAAAAAATATATTTTTTGTAGTTTGCCCTCAAATGAAAGCTAAATAAATATGATTTCATTGGATTATACAAGCAA